GTCGGGAATCGAACCCGGGTCTTCGACGTGACGAGCGAACGCTTGAACCACTGGCCTACCCGACCGCCCCTCTGTGTGGATTGAAATGTATGAGACAAATTCAGGTTAGTAAATAGTCCCGAGTGTCGTTTACGAAGAAACATATTTCACATTTTAAATCATTTCGAAACGCAAGCAGGAATAACCCTTTGCCCTTAAATGAACACGTGTATTCAAATTGTCAGACTCGCTAGTCCATAAATATCCTAGGTTACACTTTTGTTCAAACAAACAAGGGCACGCTCACACACCGCATCCCTCTCTGAGGGGGCGCTTCCCTTATGAACATGCTCGTGTATATATATTCCATGTATGAATTCATATGCCGTGACATTGCATACACGTGTTCGCTTACAGTAATACCGGTGGGTGTATAGTAATAAAATCTGATGACACGCTTTATGAATTTTGGGACCGTGTTAGACTAACATCTAGTCTCTGAAATGAACATATCGTACATAAAACAACAGTTGTTCAGTTATCTTAATAAAAATATAATAAAAAGGAGCCCAGTGACTCTCTTCATTTCCTGATACTGCAGTGATCTAGACTTGCATGGGCTGTATTTGATATATATTTGTATCAGGGTCTGTAAGACAGCCTAGGACCGTGTGTGTGAACCAGTTTTAGAGAAACCTGGCAGTATGTTTCAAGCTTAGATATATTTGTCATTACGAATGTATTTATATGTAAATGACACAAACGAGCTACAGCTAATTGTAGTCCCCATGATATTATCAATGAAAGATCAAAGGTGGGCGTGTTTTTCGTGACATTTTCGATTGGATAAAGCTTTCCTATACAAGATATGTCTTGATTGCGTCGATAAGCTATTTAACCACTTCCAATTGGTTTAATATTTGTTTCCCAGTCTTCCTTTCTAAAGCCGTTTTAGCACAGTCTATTTTTAACCGCTAAATATATAGGGAGTGTCCTGTGTCAAACGTCCGATATCACAGCTGAAGGACTGGCAACTATTTCTGCAGCTCTTTAATATGGACCATGCTTCACAGACTATTTCCAGTCCAGGACTTGACGATTTGATATGAGCCATCTGCGTAAGTGAATTTGCAATTAAGGTGATATTCGTGTTTTTAATCCAAATTAGGGGCGGTCAGGTAGCCTGGTGATGAAAGCGTTCACTCGTCACGCCGAATACCCGGGTTCGATTCTCGACATGGGTATAATGTGTGAAGCCCATTTCTGGTGTCCCCCGCCGTGATATTGCTGGAATATTGCTAAAAGCGACGTAAAACCATACTCACTCACTAATGTCCAAATTTGATAAACAAGAAGGTTTCGATCCATGAGAGACTCGAATCGAGTGAGTGAGTGAATTGGGTTTAACATCTTTCAAGTTATATAACGGCGTGTCAGCTGGATCTGGGAGGAAAGCCCGAATTGATCGAATCCATGCAGGTCTCAGACCTTTACCACACTTGGGAAAAAAATCAGCGCAACCGAACATGTCCAAGGGACGCCTTAGATACCAGTCCAAATTGCAGGGTATTCCATTTACACAATCATGGTCTTTCTAACGTATAGCTACATATGTGAACAGGGAATATATATACTGTTTAGAATGTAGTGTTCCCTGTGCAAACTCAGCATTAGCTTGAAGCTCTAGTAAAATCACTAACATGTCGGCTATATATATTATGTGTTGACACTCCAGCCTACATGTCAGTGATTTTACAAGAGCTTCAAGCTAACGCTGAATCTGCACGGGGAACACTACACTCTAAACAGAGAAGAATGGTAAGACAGTATAGTGAAACAGACACTGTACCTTATGGTTCAGGCCTTGTCTGCGTCCCACATATTCCCCTCTGACCAGCGTCCAGGGGGACTAAGGGGATCAGCGCTCTTGTTTGTTTATCAGCTGCCCCCTCATCGGGGGATCAGCCGCCGCTACTTGAGAGGTGCCACAAACAAATGCTCCTGTAAACAGCTCTTGATCAGCTGCCCGTGTTGGCGTCACTGCACCATACTAACCTACTAATTCACGGTTATCGATTATTAGAATTCATTCTGTGTATATGCATTTTCAATCGCTAAACATATCTATATTTGAATCGTTGCCTCTTTACTGAGAAATAACGGCTGGGGTACGGATTAACACAGGTAGTAGTAGTAGTAGTAGTAGTAGTAGTAGTAGTAGTAGTAGTTGGTCGCCTCTTACGACAAGCATAGTCGCCTCTTACGACAAGCAAAGACACCTCTTGCGACAAGCATAGTCGCCTTTCACGGCAAGCATAGGAATAGGTCTTCAGCAACCCGACTATGCTTGCCCTAAAAGGCGACTATGCTTGTCGTAAGAGTTGAATAACGGGATCGGGTGGCCAGGCTCGCTGACTTGGTTGATGCACGTCATCGTATCCAAATTGCGTGGATCGATGCTCATGATGTCAGTCACTGGATTGTCTGGTCCAGACTCGATTATTTACAGACCGCCGTCATATAACTGGAATATTGCTGAGTGTGGTGTATAACAACAAACAAACAAAGTAGCAGCAGTAGCAGTAGTTGTAGTAGCATTAGTGGTAGGAGAAGTGGCAGCAGTAGTAGTAGTTGTTGTAGTAGTTGTAGTAGTAGTAGCAGCAGCAGCAGTAGCAACAGCAGCAGCATAAGTGGTAGTTGTTGTTGTTGAAGCAGTAGCAGCAGTAGTAGTAGTAGTTGTAGTAGTAGCAGCAGCAGCATAAGTAGTAGTTGTTGTTGAAGCAGTAGCAAAAGTAGTAGTTGATGTAGTAGCTGTAGCAGCAGTAGTAGTAGTAGTAGTAGTAGTAGCAGCAGCAGCAGCAGCAACAGCAGTCGCGGCAGTTGTAGTAGTTTCAAGGAGTAATAGGGCCATATCTATTTATTACTGTACAACATTTCAATATATGTACAAGTCGTTAGAACGGGGCTTTGTCGGGGAGATCCCTTCGCCCGGGATAACAGGATTTCACCAAATTAGTTTTGTTTAGCACCAGCCAGTCCACGACATTGTTTGGTCAAGACCACGGTAGCACCGACAGGTGGTGTTTGTTGTCACGCTCGTCTAGGACACTGGTGGACGGCTCGGCTTAGAAGACTCATAAAATATCATCCTCGCCAAAATCAAAATCTCTTTGTTCTTCTGTTGATGTTTACTCACACTGAGGGGATGAGTGAGGCACCGAGGTCATCCCCATATGTGACGTCATAGACATAGTCTTATACTTCTCTTCATCGAAAACACCTCATTAAAAAGGCATACACATTTCATTTTATCTATAATGGTTTTATGGCGAAATTTATTAACCTGATATTTCAAAATGACTTTGTACATTGAGTAGTGAGGTCACCATGCCACTGCGTTGTAAGCACATGATTCGCAAATAAATCAGTTTAAGTTAGTTTTGTTTGTTGTAAGACGCAGCACTCGTAAATAATCGAGGCAAACCAGTGATTGATATTATGAGCAATGACCCACGTCGGAGTACGGTGACACAGTCCACAAAGCCACTGAGCCAGATAACTTGATCCATTTAGTTGCCTCGTACGGTGAGCTGAAATTGGGTTTAACGTCGCGACCAAGATTATTGCACTTATATAGCGAGGTGCATGCACGTTTGTATGTGGGTGTGTGGGTGTGTGGCTGCTTGTACTAGTCCGGACTGATGCCGATTTATAGTGCTAGCCCACTGAGATACAATGCCGCAGTTTAACATGAATACCCCACTCAGACAGAGTATACTGACTCCGAGCCGACCAGTCCTTGTTTTAGCCCCTTAATGCCGAGCGCCAGACAGGGTAACAAAAAGTACCATCTTTTAACGTCTTTTGGTATGACGCGGCCGGGGATCGAACCCCGGGCCTTCCGCTCTCCGGGCGGACGCTCTACCACTAGACCACGGAGGCGGTCCGTTGCCTCTTACGACTATCATAGTTTGCTAAGGCTCTATTCTAACCTGGAATCCCCGTGAGATTTTACATCACACAGTGAATGGGTACTTAACGCCGCAGTCAGCGATCTTCCAGCCACGTCACGGAGACCTGTAAATAATTGAGTAAAAACATGAGCCGCTTGGTCTCTACTCCACCGCGTTACGAGTAATCACCCAAATAGCACCAGACAATCCAATCCCCAAAAAGGTCTTCTTACGACCTCAAACCTCCGTACATCGCTTAGAGACCCGTAAAGATGCGGGGAGAGAATAGGTTTTCAGCAACCCATGCTAGCCGTAAAGGGGACTAAGCTTGTCGTAAGAGGCGACTAACGGGATCGGGTGGTTAGGCTCGCTGACTTGGTTGATGCATTTAGTCGTTTCCCAATTGCGTTGATCGATGCTCACGGTTTCAGTCACTGGATTGTCTGGTCCAGACTAATATATACAGAACGCCGTCATAGAGCTGGATTAAAGCTGAATGCGGCGTAAAACGACAAACAAAGTGATGGTACCCAGGTCAAGAACATCCCCATCAGTTGCACGCGGAGATTACCTTCACTCTAAATCTATGTGTTCTAATATAGAACACTGGACGCGTCCATACGTTCTGCCACAGAATACGAATGTTCTAATTCGTGCAGCACGTGTTCTATTGCTGAACGCCTGTGATCTGATGAAGAACGCGTGTGTTCGCTCCTGGGAGAAGTCCATGCACATTAGCAGAGTTAATGTGCTGAATGCTGTTAGACAAATTTAAATTCGACCATCATATTTGTGTTTTCGGAATATTTATTTTTGAGAAGAAGAGAGGCTGGTAGATTGGTATGTCAAACAGAAAATGTGTATAAGAAGGGTTATATTTTGAGTTTGATGAATAATAAATAGTTTATAAACATGGCATACTTTGTGTTAATAATAACTCATATGTAGCCTGAATAAATACAACAAGAAACATTACTGAAATACAACTCATTGCTAATACATGGAAATAACTTGCTTGCATTGGGGACATTTACGTGTATCAGAACACTGGCATTCTGACGGCTAATTTTAGCTGGATCTTTAATGGGTGCTCTGGAACATATACGGTCTATTTGCTGAACGCCTGCGTTCTCTCCTAGAACGCATGTGTTCTGCTGTGTTCTATAATGTTATATGCGAGAACACGTGTTCCATTAATAGAACATCGGTGTTCTGTTTTTCTAACAAGCATTCAAAGCTGTCCATGCTCTGTGATTCACATCCGTTATGTGAGAAACTGGCGTGACGTCGCATGTATTTGGCGCTACAATTTCCTATGATCTGAGGTGTCTGTGGTAAGTATCCATCTAGGAATACTTTTGTTTCATATTTAATACGTACCTAAAATAATGTAATATTTCGGCGATATATTCATATGCTGATCCCAACGAAGTAAAACCGGCCCCTTACAAAACGCATAGCAGACGACATATTACTCGCCATTTTGACCGTCATTTCTGCCATTGTTCCACACGCTTTATTTATAAATTATGAGATGAAATTCCAATCCAAATTGCAAGTGTCACTATTTGAACGTTTCCGTTTATTTGAATGATGTTCAAATAAAATGAAAAATATTTCAGGTTCTATATGAATCGCCTGAAAGTGCGAAGCGGGCTACGTGCAACAAATCTCTGAACATCTAATTTGGGATCCGAGGGCATGATCAGCAAGCATCGACAATGCATCGAAATCAGCAGAGAGTAGTGTAAGTATGTAATGAACAAAAAGAACTAAACCTTCACAGGACATGTTTTTGGCTATTTTATGTGAAATATTTTAGAGAATCAGTCTTGTTGTTTCTATTTCAGGGTGCATTGCAGATAATCAGTACCATCCATGGAAATTATTGCACAGGGCACACGTCTACACAAAGGAGGAAAAGACACAAGGTTTTGCAGATCAAATAAGAAGGTACTTGTGTATATTTTGCTCTAACCTTTATCCAAGTAAGTGGTAACTTTGTTAGTCAAATGACATTTTTGGCAAAACATTTTGCAACCTATAAATAATGAAACAAATGTCACGGTAATCTTGGGTTTACTAACGAACATTTGTTAGAATGTCCTATGTAATATGTACGAGTTTGATAACTATATGACTATGATCAAATAAATGTTTTGTGTTGTAGGATGTTGGGGAGTCATATTTGACATGAAGTTTCCTGAAGCCTGCGATGGTCATGTCGCTGTTACGAACATCGTCCTTTGGGGATATTTACCCACAAGAAACATCTGCGAAGTACATGCGCTTGAAACTTAAGTTATCTTAAGTATGGAAGTATGCTTCAATTTGCTACACAACAGTTTGTAATGTTTCATGAAGAACTCTGACTCATAAGTGACTTGAATATCCATGATCATCCCAAACAAATATAATAAAGAATTCATGGTTGCAGTTCAGAATTTCGTCCGTGTGATTTTATGCCAGAGAATATGCATGGGTGTATGGTTTAAATTCTTACACCTTGAAAAACATCGGGTAAATTGTATTCGACACACACGATGAGTTGTCGTTTCAGTAATGTGGAAGTACGTGTCCGAGAACGTGTAGTGTTCTGAATCTCGGTCCAGAACACTTTACAGGCGTTCTAAAAGCGTTACATCGTCAGAACACGTTGAAGCGTTCTAAATATGTTTGTAGAACACTCCTGTTCTGGGTCGAGAACATCAACGTTCAGAATATTTTCAGAACACATGGACGCGTTCTAAAAGTGTTACATCCATGTGTTCTGTCTAGTGTTCAGAAGTGGAACACTTGGGTTTAGAGTGTTGATGCTGCATTGTCCCAAACACCAAGTTTAATATACAATCTCTCTCATCTTCAACATCAATTTCCGATAGTCTCTCCATGTAGTCATCTCTGCCCTAGAGAGAGGGACCGCCTCCGTGGTCTAATGGTAGAGCGTCCGCCCGGAGAGCGGAAGGTCCGGGGTTCTCTCCCCGACCGCGTCATACCAAAAGACGTTAAAAGAAGGCACTTGTTGTTACCCTGTCTGGCGCTCGGCATTAAGGGGCTAAAACAAGGACTGGTCGGCTCGGAGTCAGTATACTGTGTCTGAGTGAGCTATTCATGTTAAACTGCGGCATTGTATCTCAGTGACCTAGCACTATAAATCAGCATCAGTCCGGACTAGAACAAGCAGCCACATACACACACATACACGTGCACGCACGTCGCTATATAAGTGCAATAATCTTGGACGCGACGTTAAACCCTATTTCACCTCACCTCACCTAGAGAGAGGTGTAATTTATTAGTATCTTGTCCTACAGGCCGCTTTGTTGACAGAGAACGTTTATTTCCCGAGACGACCGTTTTAATGGGGAAATGTTCAGTGAGGACAGTGATGTTGATTTTGCGTATCTTGTACATCTGAGACCGGCTGGCATAAATTATACCCGTGACAGCAGAATGACTCCGTACAATCAGGGGTGAGTCGGCGGAGACTATAAAGACCCACCTTGGTAATAGGTTATTTTATCCTTTCAAATATGCGCCCCACATTTCACATACTCTTAGGAATCACGTTCTTCTATCGGCTCATATATATTTTGTATTATTTAATTTACTAAAACAAATAATGTGAGACAATGTTCGTATGATTCCGTGTTGGTATTCACATAATGGCTTGCACTCTATCTGGGTACATTTAGTACAAGAATATACGTAACCATACCTCTAAACCCTTGATCAATACACCGTCATTTATTCAAGGCAGGGATGATTATCCTATCTATATTTTTCGCGGTTTTATTATAGATTAATTGGCAATTATAGCATATTTACTCAAACCAAAATCATATCAAAATATATAGCGGTTTTTATTATAAATCACAGTCGTAGAAACTCTTCGATAAATGTTGTTGTTTTTATTTATCGAACGATGCTGAAAGACAGAGGACCTTTAACGAGACAAGCGTTTTCGGATTGTTTTTTAAAAGAGTTGTTTCCGTCCAGTACGTATCTTCTCGGCGTTTCAAGTATTTTAATGACACGGATACAAGTTCGATGAAGGGGAACATCTTAATTCGTTTAAGCCATCTTCCCTCTACGTGGGTCGATCGTTGCTTACAATATTAATCACTGGATAATCTGGTCCAGATTAGATTAGTAACAGGCCGCCGCAATGTAGCTTGACTTTTGCGTCAAACAAATTAATGATGTGCAAGAAAGACGTACCCATTTATTATGATAGAGAGTAGGGGGTCGCAGTTGTAAACACTGTAATAAAAGTATATATGATGATAGTAGTATGATACCAAATCCTGAACTGACTTATATCGCTTGAAATGATTTTGCTACAACGATATGAAATCTCAATTTACAAATGGCAATTGGGCCATTTACAATAACATTTACCATACCATGCCACCACTCAAATTCTCAATCAAAAGAGTTAATGGTTTTACTTTTTAAAATGCAACTTGCACCCAAAGACGTGTAACTTATATATATTCAAATATATGTATTACCAATTGTTTATACATATAAACGGTCTCCTTTAGATCCCAAGGGCAACGCACATCAATCATGAGAACGTTTGTCCATAGGTACACCAACTAACACAAATGATTACTCCCTTTGACGCATGCGCAAAACAGCACATTGCTATTTTCCGGTGTCATGGAGGGCACGTGTTGTTGACATTTCAGGATTTTAATTATAAGTGAACACAATGTCTGTTTATCACGATGAAATCGAAATTGAGGACATGGAATATGACGAAGAAACGGAAACGTATTACTACCCATGTCCCTGTGGTGATAAGTTTCAAATAAGTAAGGTAAATGACTACATTGCAATGTATGTTTACATCTGTCTTCTAATTTCGTGATAGCTGGCATGACGAAAATACGTGTAATATTGGGTAATTCTTTAATGTCATCGATTGAGAAAAGATAGGTCATCTATCTTTGATCTTGTGTTGCTATTGGTACGAATTTGGTGTGTGTATAGAGTTTAGCTTCTGAATATATGAAAATATATAAATGTTTGACTAAATGGGGTCTAGCAGTGTTAGTCTTACAGTGTGTGACAGACGTATGTGATCGCGTTGTGATGTTCTTTGTAATTCTATTTTGGTCATTTCTCATGTACTGATGCAGTTAGCTTCTGATTTGTCTGATCCGGTTTCAATTATCTATTGACTATGCAATATCATAAATATTCGCTGAAACAACATTCATTGATCAATGCGCCGCAATTCGCTGTGCTGAGTTGCGTCCCTTGGGCATGCTAGAAACCTATGATTGTGGGCTCGAATCCCGGTTCAGCCCGATTATGTTTCTAGGTTTGTCAGCACCATACCCGTGCTCGTGGGTTTCACCGAAGGGGTAAACGTCTAAGACCTGCATCACTTCGAGCTTTCCTCCCACATTAAGCTAACACGCCGTGATATAACTGGAATACTGTTAAAAGCGGCGTTACACACAACTCACTCACTCACTCATTGATCAATGGACTAATGTTTAACCTTAATGGTAGCTGCTGTTTCCCTCATTTGTTCGTAGCTATACCTTAATCCTTTACCTCCAGCTTAGTTTATTTTGTGTGTGGGTGGGAGGGGGTCAGGTAGCCTTGTGGTTAAAGCGTTCGCTCGTCACGCCGAAGACCTGTGTCAACAAATTTGGGAAACAATTAAATACAATGCTGTCAGATTATGACCAGTGATCATTTATCCTGATCCAAATGAAATCTAGCTGGCCCCAATAACAGCATGACAATTGAATTGAAAAATGATGACGGTGATGTGTCTACAGGGATTAATTTGTCAAGCCATTCTCAGAAACTGATATTCAGCCCCAACTCTGCATCAAATGTTGGTGGAAAATTCCAAAATTGAAATTCATAACATCTCTATTCAGGTTATCATCAAATTGAACATAATATGTTATCATTAAATACAATGTTGAAATAGGTGTATAACTTAGCATCGGGCCGGGTATTGGCAAAAAAACTTTATTGCAATATATTGTGATACAGGTACATGTATCTGTAAAGCGATTTATTGGGAGCTAAAGTGTATGACACTGATTGTACATGCACAGTGACAGAAACTAACTGTTTTTGTCTACTAGTCCTTATAATGATAACATACAGCAAAACCCTAAAAAATGCAATTTTCTTCTGGTCCTTATGATACCTTAACTATTGGGCAGTTTGGCAAGGACTTTAGGACTAGTGCCAATTTCTAATGCTGCATGCAGATTTTAGTTTCTACATGCTGAAGTAAATGTTAATCAGCATGATCAGTTGCCGCCATTTTGTAGTCATGGATACAAGGGAGATAACAATGTGAGAGAGCAGTCACTTCCACGTTTCTGCTGTTCTGTCAATCAATTTCGTAATGAAACATAATTTATGAATAGATGTTATGTTAAACGATACAAATAATAACACTGTGTCATATTCTTTTATCCATTATACCGAAACACCGAAAAAATATTGCGGTACATATTGTTTGAAATGTCTATTGCGGTACATATCGTTTGAAATGTCTATTGCAGTACAGTGATACACCGTGCAGTCACACTACATGTACTAAGCATGATAAGTATCTTTACACATTTACACATATAATTCACAGAACCAAATGTTAATGGGTTTATCCCATGGGCAACCAACTTGGTTTAAAATGATGATAAGTCCCTGGTCTGGACAGTGTGATATTTTGATGACAGAATCATTGAAAATACTGTAAAATGTGAAATTAATGCGTCTCCAAAAGAATGCAACCGCTGGCCCCTAGCCAAAAATGCATCAGTGGATTTATATCTGAACAAAATGTCCTCTGTCAGGTTTACAGGAGAATCCTTACATTAATCCAATCACACACCAAATACAACCGCTTTTTAGCGCTGAGTAGAGTACTTCAGCTAAAACAATACGTGCATGCTGGCTTGTGTCGGCCTTTGATGCAGGGGCAAAGAGCAAAGACACCGTGTTGGGTGGCGTCTGTCTGGACTTGCAGGTGTGATAAGTGATGACATGAGGGAGTAGAACGCTTGTCTTGACCCCAGCAGTGACAATTCACAGGATGTAACTAGTGTTTGAATGACATTGTTTATATACTTGTTACACGTGCTGCTCAATAAACAGTGATGTGGAATACATAGTTGTTTGTTTTCAGCGTATGTCTAAGTTGGTATTTCTGCTATCCAAAATGTCTTATTGTTGATATAAATGCGATGTTTAATAATGCGAACAAAGACCACTCACATTTTTTGCATTTAATTCACGCTCGCGTTAATTTCACGTTTTACAGTAGATTGTTGTATACCCCAGTAAGCAATGGTAAGTGAAATGATGTTCTCTGTTTCAGGAGGAACTGGAGTCTGGGGAAGACGTAGCCAAGTGTCCCAGCTGCTCTCTCTTGATTAAAGTTATATATGACCCTGTAAGTTCACAAATCACTCATGTCCTTTCAGCTTCTTCAGTGCTCCCTTACAGTGCTTTCACTTTCATTCTGTTCATGTCATCTGTGAGGGTAAACGATAACCTGAAACACTTGCACCATGATGTGACCTTCGATGTGATTCATGGTACTGGCAAGTGTTGTGATACAAGATGATTGAAAATATGTATTGTTTTATTTAAGAACTGACTTTAACTTTGTGTGAGTTCAATGGCGTAAGAACCTTCATAGAGTGAGGGCCAACCTGTATGAGCGTCGGAGCTTGCGTCATTTCAAGAACAGGGCCACAAGAAATACGTATGAATGTCAAATTGTGTCGTTCAAACGCCTATGGACATCAATTTCTTGGTCAGGTGACTGACCTCTCGTCCAATGAAAAAGCTGTACATCATGTAAACTTCAAATTAAAAAAATATTATTTCCTGAAAGAATAACCCTATATTGCTTTATGAGCTGTGTGCTGTTTATTAACCTGACAGCTTGGATGGGACTGAAGTGGCTTCGTCAGGTGCCATTGTCAGTGATGGCTGAAGTGAGTGTCATGGTGAAAGTGACTTTATATTTTTCTTTTCAAATTAAAAAACACCTTTGCACATGTTCAGTTCATTGTTCATGTTCTGACATATTGTGTTACGTGTTGTATCGTGATGAGTGTCAAGCTACGTATCATATCATGGCCTTCCGTATCATTCCAGCCCTAGTCTTTTGCTGCCAGGCTTGCAGGTGCAGCACCATTGTTTTCATCTGCAGTGGGGGCGGTCGGGTAGCCTAGTGGTTAAAGCGTTCGCTCGTCACGCCGAAGACCCGGGTTCGATTCCCGACATTGGTACAATGTGTGAAGCCCATTTCTGGTGTCCCCCGCCGTGATATTGCTGGAATATTGCTAATAGCGGCGTAAAACCACACTCACTCACTCACTCACTCATCTGCAGTGGTTTTTTAGTAATCTAGAATGATGTAACAAGATATTTACTAATTTAGGATTAGTTTTGATTATATATCATCATGATATTGGGGTGGTCTGGTAGCCTAGTGGTTAAAGCGTTCGCTCGTCATGCCGAAGACACGGGTTCGATTCCCGACATGGGTACAATGTGTGAAGCCCATTTCTGGTGTCCCCCGTCGTGATATTCCTGGAATATTGCTAAAAGCGGCGTAAAACCATACTCACTCACTCATCATGATATTTATGTTCAGTTGACACTTGGCTGTTAAGGAGAAACATGTTCACAAAGTATCTTTTAATTGACAAACAAAGACTTATTTTTTGGCTCAAATTAGTTATCCACGCTTCACTTATCCGACTCAGTAGAGTCTTCATTCTGTTCAGATAAGTACCCTGGACCTCTTCACTACCCATCTTCCCGAGGAAAGAGAGTTAACTGACTATAAAGTCCAGTTTCCACCCTTGCCGAACTAGGCTAGAATTCCTCGGCTCTATCGTAGTGCTACCAGTGCTATTACGAGTTATGCCCCTTCTATGTCTCTCCTATGGAATCAAATCAGATTCCACCTCTCGTTTCACTTGCATTTGCTTCAAACAAAATGGCGGCGTCCAGTCAAGACGATCTGATCGATAATCAAGATCTATATTGTGATAAAACAGGTCTTACACCGCAAAATGCATCAAATCACGCGAGCACCTTGATTAAAAACATGAAAAGATTTGGAAAATATCTGTTCACGAGTTGGCGGTGCACGTGCTTTGTAAATCCTGCAATCGACGGAAATCTGCACTGAGGTTTACTAACCGGATTTCGATTCAGTTGCGTGATTTTGATTGGACTATGCATAGACTCGTTAGTCCAGCTAAAATGTAACTCCATAATACCAGCCTAGTTCAGCAAGGGTGGAAACTGGACTTTTATAGTCAGTGAACTCTCTTGCCTCAGGAAGATGTTCACGTCCGGAACATACATGACAGAGTTTTGTGCTCCCTTTGAATGACATGAAGTGAAAGATATACGTCCAGTCAAATTACACTGTTTTTTCATGATTAAAAGAAGCTGTGGTTTCTCAAGTACTCGACTCAACTTTTGTGTGCCGTCTCAAAACAACCAGAACACCATGTAGCATTTCGACTCCCGTCCTCATTGCTGATACTCAGGAAAACAGCAAACACCAACATTCATTGATAACAGTCTTCTGAATTGATAAGGGGCGGTGGGGTAGTCTAGTGGTTAAAGCATTCGATCGTCACGCCGAAGGCCTGGGTTTGATTCCCCACATGGGTACAATGTGTGAAGCCCATTTCTGGTGTTCCCCCGCCATGAGGTTTCTGGAATATAGCTAAAAGCGGTAAAACCATACTCACTCTGAGTGGATAATAATATTAAAGGCTGACTCAGACGTAAAGCAATTTTTTATGTTTTTCTAAGTCGACCTTTTGTACAGAAGAGACAATTTTATTGGTTGTTGTTTCAAGTTCATGAGTGAGTGAGTGAGTGAGTTGGGTTTAACGCCGCTTTTAACAGTATTCCAGTTATATCACAGTGTGTCAGCTTAATGTGGGAGGAAAGCCCGAAGTGATGCAGGTCTCAGACGTTTACCACTTCGATGAAACTCCCGAGCACAGGTATGGTGCTGACAAACCTAGAAACATAATCGGGGCTAGCTGGGACTCGAACCCACAATCATAGATTTCTGGCGTGCCCAAGGGACGCAACTCTGCATGATGAATGAGAGACAGTCTTTTCCAAGCTCTCGTGGGATTTGGCTCCACAGCAAATATAATTGTGTATCATAATAGAGATATGATATACGAGCTGATCAAGGATGTTGCTCTGAACAATAACATGCAAAATACTAATAAAAGTTTAGAAGCATAAGCCATGTTTCCCAGAAAGTAAAGGTTATTTTGGAGGTCTGTGTTCATGATTGTACTCTAGTTTATTGCCATAAATCACAATGTTAGGCCAAACACTTTTGTTTTATAGTTGTTTTCACAAACCAATGTATGCCTCATTGTATTTATATTGTGTGATAAAGTTGGTTGGTCTGTTAGTTTCGAGGCAGCAAATAAAGTGCCTAAAGTGCTGGACGTTCACTATTTTGAGTGAGTGAGTGAGTATGGTTTTACGCCACATTTAGCTACATTCCAGCAATATCATGGCGGTGGACACCAGAAATGGGCTTCACACATTGTACCCATGTCGGGAATCAAACCCGGGTCTTCGACGTGACGAGAGAACGCTTTAACCACCAGGCTATCCGACCGACCCCGCTCTTTTGACAGTAACCATGGTAACATATATGTATTTATTTCTGAGAAGGCTTTCCTTATAAGAGTGAGTGAGTGAGTTTGGTTTTACGCCGCTTTTAGCAATATTCCAGCAATATCACGGCGGGGGACACCAGAAATGGGCTTCACACATTGTACCCATGTCGGGAATCGAACCCGGGTCTTCAGCATGACGAGCGAACGCTTTAACCACTAGGCTACCCGACTGCCCCCTTTCCTTATAAGAGGATTGAAGGGGCAGAACACAACTACATACAATGCATATTTCATTGATTAATCAGCGATAGAAACTAACAATTTTAGTCCACTAGTCCTTATAATGATAACATATAGCAAGACCCTTAAAATTGGCAAATTTCTTCAAGGCCTTATGACATCTTAACTTTTGGGCAGCTTGGTAAGGACTATCATGACTTTAGACTTGTGTCAATTTCTACCGCTGTTAATTATTTTCTAAGAAGTAAATAATTACTCTAATTTTTATGATTTTTGTAGTTGTAATTTTGTTTTATTCGGATTCGTCAACATGGTCAAGGATGGAGAGGTATGATAGGGCAGATCATATATATTATAACTTTTTTATGTTATTTTCTGATTGTGGCTTCTGGCTCAGTTTGGTCAAATCCCTAAACAGAAATATAAAACGAGACGCTAATCGCATTCACAGATTGTTACGTAATGTAGGCGTATATGCTCAAGTGTCTCGGATCACACGCAAATGGATGATTTATACATGTAATCTTTGTGCAGTCGGGTTTAAATTATTTTTATTAAAGTTGAGTTGACAATTTGTTATTCAATACCTGTTTCCTGATGTTCTCATACATTTATGAGCTCTTGCATCTTTGTCTTGTCATGTAACCATGGTAACACACACTTGATGTGCAAGTTGACGGGTTCATACACAACCTGAATGAATGAATCTGAAGGTAGTTTATTGGGATTTAATGTCATGTGTAAAATTATTGCACTTATATAGCGAAGTGCATGTTCGTGTGGATGTGGCCTCTTGTACTAGTCCGGACTTCCGTCACAGTACAATGACACACAATCAAGCAAGTCACTGAGCTTGACCACTTGATCCTTTAAGTCGCTTCTTTTGACCAGCATAGGTTGCTGGGGCCTATTCTGACCTGGAATTTTGAACAACAAAACAAAACAAAAAACGTCCACCCAAACTATATTTTCAAAAGCTATTGCCTGAGAACCAATTCTTTTATTTTTCTAGGCCTACCAGGGTAACTTTGACTGACCAATGGAATAACTTACAAGAAGTCGACGTTAGCCAATCAGAAGGCAGCTTTCTCATGCTTTACGGCACTAATGTCAAATTGGCGACTATGCTTCAAAGCATATTTTGACAAATTCTCGATTAAAAATTTGAAACCTGAACAAAAGAACATTCTGGAATGGCTAACAGATGGTCGAGATTGTATGGAGTCGGTCGTTAATCCCGTCACTATCGTTCGGACTATGCCGTGTTAAAGTTTTTGAGGTTGCATGATTAGAAATCACATTCCAACTGTCACTTTCATGATCTGGTAAGCGACGTTCTGATTGGTCGGATGTAATGTCGTTCTGATGTGACCCCTAATGGGATGTCCTCAGATCTTTGTTTAGCGGTAGCGAGAACTAAGATCTGATTTTAATGAGATTGGTGCTCAAAACAGTGTTAAACCCATCTTATTCACATACACATGACAATATTGATGAAATATATAAATTCAAAAATTAGAAGTAT